ATTTCAGATCGGATACCGACAATCTTAGCTCAGTATATCATACATTAATTAAATGAAATAAACATAAAATATTAACTAACACCCGGTATATTGAAGAATTTTGAAACCAAAAATAATATCCTCAGAATGCAAAGAAAAATAGCCGAAAGTAAAGAAATCAATATAAACAGTATTTTATTCGTTTTGTGTCCGATAATGGACAAAATGAATACTCCAAATGCATGCCAAGGCTTAAAACAGCGACAACGCTACACACGTAAGTAAAAATATTTAAGTATCTGAACAAATAATTCTAGTCTCTTCCCAAATTTGATTGTCCTGACTAATTACCTGTTAGGCCTAATTAATTTTAGGATGTTTTAAAGTATTGCAATTGTGATGTATTTTAATGTGTGATATGATGAGGCTGTTGACGAACTGTGGTTGTCTTTTAAATTAATGAAAATTTTTTTTTAACTATCTGTTATTTTAGAAAAACTGATGATGGTGGAAAAATACACTGAGACGTATTTTGATTAATAAATAGAGACAATAAATGACTGAAACCCAGGAATAAATTTGATTTGGCATAAAAATAATTCAAATGCATTTGCAAAGTCGCATATAAAAGACAAATCCATACTGTAGATGCTTATTTCGTAGGTAGTTGGATCTGAGGTAGCTGAAGTTTGCCAGCTACTTAATCTAGATCGCAGGACAGCGCACGTAGCTGAAAGCATCTAACTATTCGCCGGTTCCGAAAGGGGTAACTAACGTGCACTTATATGAAATTCCTTCGGGCCATTGGCACAATTTATTACCGGCCAAAGGCAATTACGCGGCTTCGGGACCGTATTAGCTTTCAGGCGCTAACCCTTTCATAAAGCGTTTAATTGCCCGTAAGATAAATAGTACACTGCGTGCTATAACTTTGCTGTGACGAATCGAAATTTCCTGCTATGCACTTTATTAAAGGTGCAGATGCATGAGTAGACGTTAGTGGAAGGGCACTATTTTGCCAAGCGATTTTCTATTATTTTTTCCAGTGGAAATCGATCCAGAAAACCTATTCAATTCATGATTAAGGTTCCCAATCAAGAGCGCAGGTTTTAAAAAAATGACTGGAATAAGCTTAAAAACCTCAACATAGAAATAAAGCTTGCAGAAAAAATTAATACAAGTTGAGAAATAATGTCGAATAAGATTGAATAAATTTGGAGGTTTCCGTCGTAAGAAGCTCATCAAACGTAGGTCAATCATCTCGTAAGATGATGTGAAGTAGAGCAAGAACGAAGAAATTGCGCTCTCTGAAAGGAGCAAAAATGTAATTATTCGACAGGCGAAGAAAAATTGAGAATAACTATGAAAGGAATGGATACCAAAGTAGAAGTGTCACCAAATGATGAAGGAATCCAAGGAGAAAATGTTATGAGAACTAAAACAGGGCTAAATGAGTTCCAACGCCCATAAAAAATCGATTTTATCGAGTTTACTCGCAAAAAAATACAGTTTTTAAAATTGGTATTTTAGACCAGAAAGAAAAAATGCAAAACTAATTAAAAAATGTGTTTCCTTGATATATACATTTTTATTGAGGAGTGATAAATATATCCAATTGCTTCAAAATAGACGAGAAGCTTAACACATGGTGATCGCTAATATTCGGTGAAAGGTGACGCAAAAAGAGAAAAAACCATGATTTCTTATTAGTGCACTAATAAACACAAACGGACATCAATAGTGATCAATATATCATTAATACATATAACCCATAACGTTAGTGCCTAATTTTTCAAGATTCTTAATTGTGAATAAGTGATCTGTGATTTCGTCAAATTTTTTTCAAGCTGGTTAGTAAATTTCCACAAAATTTCGCAATTTTCTACTGCTATTTACTTTTGTACCTGTTTGACCCGAAATTTGTTAAAAATTGCTTAACTCACCTTCACAAAATCCATTCTTTTGAGCAATGAATAAAATTGGCAAATTCTCGATTCTTGAAAAACATTGGACAACAAAAAAATGGACATAAACAAGCTTAGAAACGGCAAACATGATCATCAATCGTAGATCATTCATCTCGTAAGATGGTGTGCAGAAGAGGAAGAACGTAGACATTGCACTGTCTAAAAGGAGGAAAAATAGAATTATTGGACCAGTGAAAATAAAATATAAGCGACGATGATCGGTACAGACAGCTAGATCTCACCAAACGGCAAAGGAATCTAACGAGAAAAGGTTACGTAATAATTAGCAAGAGAATTAAAAAAGAGAGAGGACAGTTTAAAGGTGCATAAAAACTCTAAAGGGATTACCCACATCTACAGGAAAATCAGTTTTAAAATTAGTATTGTAGATCAAAAATAATAGTAGATAAGTTCTATATTGTTGAGGCAGATTCAGTTTTTCACAAACTGTTTGTTGGGTATTTCGCCCCAAAAATGTTTATCTTTAAAAAGACTTAATTTCCTCACGTCTTCATCAAGAAATCTTGATTAATTTTTGATAAATAATTCGTTCTTATTGTGAAATAAGAGCACTGTTTATCAATCAGTAATAAAAGACGTGTGGAAATCTCTCTCTTTTTAAAGACAAAAATTTGGAGGCAAAATACCCAACAAACAGTTTGTGAAAAACAGAACAGTGGAGGGAATTAGAAAAGGTGTTGGCTTGTCCACGGAGATTATATGTATTGAAAAGTGGCAATAAAAGGCATAAAACAAGCGAAGCAAGAAAACGACTTGCATGGAAACTTAACAAGAATATCTTGGACGGAAAACTTGGCGAATACAAATGTATTGATAAGATAAGGAATAAATAAATGAAGAATGTATAAATATATCGAATTACTCCAAATTGGGAAGGTTAATGTAAACTGTTCTGTGATTTCTTCAAATGCTAATAAACTTCGTTAGAAACTTTGCACAAAATTTCCCAAATATATATAAGTGGTATTTTCCTACCGTTTTTAAACTGGTATCAGCTAAATGGAAAGTTGTTAAGAATTGCTTTGCTCACTTTCAAACAGTCTGTTTTTGAGTGATGGACCGATACAAACAATTCTTTTTTTTGAAACTGCCGACTTTTTTTGACGTTTACACTGTTCTGGTGGGAGTAGGAATTTAATCTTGACGCGCTTCAGATTCAAAAATTTATTCATCATTCAGATCTAGTTTTTTGCAAATATCGACATTTTTGGCAATTTTTTTTCAGTAAATTTATGTTCATAAACAGTTGAAAAATGAAATAAGCAAAAATTCAACATAATTTGGGCTTTGCAAAAAACATTTCGAAGCCTTTTCCGAATATATCCGAACAACATTCTGGTTCTGTTTGTTAGATTCATCACATCCAATTTCGTCTAACAATCTTTAATACAAAGTTTACTAGCAAATGACGAAAATGTTTATCATCAGCTCAATATAGGCAAAATAGTTTAATTGAAAAGTAAATTTTCCTCATCAGCGAATCGAAACCGAGCATTGCGTTCGCGTCACCTTGTTATTTCACGAGAATTACCGTGTTCGTATCTTATTTTCCAATTTTCCCTTCTTCGCAGTCTCAAGTCTTTATTGGAAATTCCGATTCCGCCGTCAGACAGTTAATTTGAAAGCCGAATGAGTATATAAAATCGGCTCCTCTCCCTAAATGCCCCAAATAGCTTTTACGCCAGCTTAATTCGTTTAATAATCGTTCCGGCACGCAACTCGAATTCTCATATTATTATCTTTTATTGATTGGTTGCCTGCTTGTCTGCTGGTTGTGGTGCGGCTTGGTGACTATCTACGCCGTTTCCTGGCACTAAAAACATCTTTCATTTCAACCCTGCATTTGAAAATGTTAATGTTTGCATAGCATGCCCATGTGAATTAATTAATCTAATCTTGATGGTTTGAGCTGCTTGGAGTCAATTCAAAATAGACCAAAAGAAAGTTAAAAGGAATGACATATAAGGATAGCACAACAACAGCACAACACAACAAGTGAACAATTCAATAGAGATCAATACAATCAACAAGACTTAAATACTTCCAACATCCCAGCAAGGAAGGGCAAGTTTGGTTCTGTTATTGCGAGCAGAACGTAGTAGTATTATTTCCGTAGTCATTTATACGGAATAAACATTTGTTACCATTCGCATCTCTGCCATACTTTTCCCAACTTATGCTGTCGAGATGGTTAATTGGCGTTTTTTGGATAAAATCGATTTAGACAATGCTGATTTTGGTATTTTTGAGACTTGCAGAAGATGTGGATGAAACTAGTGAATAGTTTAGCTGTCGCTAGATGACCAGGTATCTAAAGGGCGTGTTTAGAAAGTAAATTTAATGCAGGTTTTTTCAATAAACTTGTTTGATTTGAGCTCTCTCCCTGAGGAAATACTTGATCGCCAAACGAGCGCAAATAAATGGGTTTCATTTTCGAAAACGTTTGAACTCAGAAACTTTTGAGGCTCAACAATGCTCTATAATATTTTTGGTATTTTATATTCACAAAATATATGCAATCAATATTTTCTTTTTGTTTCAGGCCAACTAGATAATTCCAAAGATTTCTCAGTGCAAGATGGTTTAGGTAACTTTAGTAAAAAGAAGAAAAAGAAGCGGCGTCATAGGTAACTATCTGAGCTATCTAAATCTTCAGAATATCTGAATCATTGGTTAAGTATTATTTGCTATTGAATCGAAAGAACAATTGAAATGGTGAAAGGATTGCAACTCGTACAATTTTCAAAAAAGGATTTAATACCTTCTAATATGCCAACTACAAATGATTTTGTCTATACATACTTACAAAAGAAAAATGGAAAGTTAAGGAAATTACACATAAATCCAGTTGAACTTAAACTAAAGGAGTCACAGAAAAAAATTAATACAAAGACTAAAAATTGAGCAGTATCGACTAATAACGCAAAGCCGTCAAAATGTAAAATTCGGTTAGTGAAAGTCTCAGCTCAGAGATCCAGTGGTTTGGCTGGTATTCTCAAAAAAAGTTAACTTAGGGAAACATGTTTTTCACATTTTACTAGGTTCTGCGTGTCTTAACCGCTTAGGTATTTATTCTAGATACATTTTTGTATTTCATCATGGTGAATATTGAAGTATAAAATGATCGGTCAGATACACTCGGAGTAGCTCAAAATGAATGAGATTTTGTAAATTTCGACTATGTAAAAACGTGTTTGAAAAGTGTCTTGAATTGGAAGCAAAGTAGATAAATAAACATATTAACGGAAAATACGTTAGACTGTCCACTAAGAAGCTTAATTGGTGTTTAAAAACTTCATTTCACGGGTTTTTAAGCAAACGAAATCACGAATCCACAGTTAATTTTTGATTAGTACAAATCTCCAGCTGCAAAAAACTATTTTCCAATGATTTATTGTATTGTTGAATTTCAGTATTCGATATTTGGTAAAATCGCTTCGCAATAGAGTAGCATATTTGATTTATTCGAAGTTCGAGGACGAAAATCGATTCTGTATGGGTTTCGATGAAAGAGCCGGCCAATGAATATTTCAATCAGCCTAATTTCAAATTCCAGACGTTTATCAATTTTCTACAATTCCACGCGAATTTAACATCTTGCCGTCGATAGATCGCATTGCTGATTCTACCGAATGAAATGTTTGAATCGCGTTTTCATTTACAATGTTACCTATCAGATTTTAAAGGTGTTTTTTAATTAAGATTACATACAATTTTGTTTGAAATCACTTTTTTCAATAGCTTCCAAACGTAAGTTTGGATCTGCCTTGCTGATTATCAAATCCAAGAGCTTTGCTTTGATCAGTTCTTGTGGTTTCGCTTCAATAAAAAATACTCTTATAATATAAGTATACATTGATTCTAATATATTAGAATCAATGTAGCAAAGTATAAATGATGTGACGCGAAACGTCCAGATATTAATTTTCTTGATAAGAAGCTTGATTTTATATCACGAAATTAAGCTGAGGTTTCAAAACTTGGAAATTTGGAAGCGCTCTTTTAACGTAAATTTCTCAACATTCAGAATTAAATAAATTATTTTACAGAAAACGAATTCAAACTTTGTTGTCGATTCAGGCAAACCTTAAAGTCGAAAAATATCCGGAATCTCAAATATTCGGAAAACGACAAAAAAACATTAAAGAATAATTAATTTTTCTCAACTTTATTTCGGTTTCGTACACTTAAATCAGTTTCGTTGATAGTTGAAATTAAAAAATAATAATAAGGTAGGGTGTCACATCATGTATATTTCTCCAACTAATCAATACCAGTTTGACTACCCTTGGTGGGTGTGTGGCAGGACGATTTTCACCAGCTATCAGCTGGAGGAACTGGAGAAGGCGTTCAAAGATGCCCACTATCCAGATGTCTATGCCAGGGAGATGCTGAGCCTCAAGACCGACCTACCCGAAGATAGAATACAAGTAAGTGACTCAAATTACGTTTTTATAGGCGGTTTTTTCTCTTTGGAGGCCACTGACACATTCAGCACATATTTAATAAATAACATGGTGCATAATTTGATAAATAATCAGTTCCACTGTTACTCATGGAAGCGTCCAGTGGACATATGTTCTAGCAACGAATGGCAATGGCAGCTTTTCTACTGTCGTTCGTTTCTCTCCTTTCGGAGTCTTGAATTATATTAGCCATGGTAGGCGTTGCGTTCGCCATCCAATCACAACCATACATTTACCCAGTCCCTTGCACTATTATAATACAGTGGCGTTCCTCATTTAATTTACTTCAATAGCTCGTTATCGATTGTTGAAGGATCCGGCATTACATACGTATAATTTTAATTTAGTAACCAAAAAGTTTGTAAGTGGATTGTTTTAAATGTGTTTTTATTATTTCAAAGTGAGAATTGCATTTTAATGATTATTAACACTGATGTTTTCAAAAGTTGACTATTTCAATCTGTAACAGTGCATTAATTTTTGCCTAATATCAAACACTTTTTAGAGCATTAGTACGTACTTTTTTACTAAGTTCTCCAAATGTTTCTTTCTTCAAAAAAACCTTGTCGTGTTCTTGTATAATTGTTTGTTGTTTCATTAAAACTTTTTCTAATTTAATTTTAATGTTTTTCTAATCAATGTTTTAATGAGTTTTTCATTATATTTCGTCTAAGCAGCAACAAGAAATTACAACTCCCGATACGATTCATAATTTTAAAAACAAAACCCAACATCATATAATAATAATAATACTTTTGTAAAAGCCGCAGTAAAAAATGGACTTTTTAATTATTTACTTAGCAAGTCAAAACTACAACTTATACGTTTTTTCTTCGAGTTATTTCTGGAAAAATGATTTCCAGATCATGCATTATGTAGGAATTAGTTTCTGCAAAAAAAATATTTTTACGTTGATTATCAAAAACTTAAACTCATCCCAAAATTGCACTAGAAATTTGAAACAAGAATAAGGCAACACTTGCCATCGCAAATAAATCGTTTCATTTTTTATTTATTAACTGGCTTTATTTATTCCTTTTCTGAACTTATATCAATTAAGCGTCTATTTTATAAGCAGCTGCGATGCAAATTGTACCGCTTAAAAGGAAGTTTTGCTAAGTGTTAAGTGTTTCGTATTTGATAAGGAAAATTTACTTTCAAGAAATGTACAGGGTACAGGGTTGAACGTTGGCCACCCCGTTTTTGCATCTAATTTGAAATTTAGAAAAAAACGTTAAATAGAAAAGTTGTAGATAGTAGCGTCTAGTTTATTTTAAGATAACACTAATGGATACAGGGTGTCTCAAATTCAAGTGGCGGACCAAACTTTAATTTTTTAAAATGGAATGCTGCACTTTTTATTGCATATTCGAACTACACGCATAGGCTATTCTTTATAATAATTCTAGGCCTATTCGATATAAATCTTGTATATTGATCTTCAACTGTTTTTTATTTAATAAGCAGAATAATAAAAGTAATAACAGTACAGACAACAATATCAATAATAATAATAACATTTTACATAAAATGAACCATTTTGATTCAGGAGCACAAACATTTCTACATATTTGTGTGTGAAAAAAGAAAATTTGCAATTCTTTTACAGGAATACACAATTTCCATATAAATACATATCTAATCAATATTGGAAAACACTATTATTTTTAAAAACCTAAGCATTTTATTCATTAAACCAAGGTATTCTAGCTCATATTTCATACCCATAGTTCAGTTATATACATATTTCTCAATTTTAAGAATGGTTTATTTTTGGAAAAAAGTAAAATATTTTGCGGACAGTATTTAAAGGTTTCCTTTGAGTTGAAAAGTAACATGCTACTGGCAAGACTAGAAAGTCAGTCGTTTTCGATGGTTTCAACATTTTTCTGTAATATTGGATCTTTTAAAAGCTGCTATTCACATTTTCCGTCTTGATGTTTTCTATAGTTCGTTCATATGTGGATAATAAACAGACTGTCTCTTCTTGTAACAACGCGAAAAAAGCTCAGAATTTGATCACGATTTTTACCTACGCCTTTCATAATTCACTGCAAGACACATTGCTGTCATTTTCTCAAATGAAAAGATGGAAATTAAAATCACACTATTTGGCTTTAAGCAAAGGCTAATAAAACTCGTCACTGCAAAAATAAACCCAAAACACTTTAGAAAAAGCTCCTAAAATCGTTTAGAAGCCACTAGAATAAACTTTGGGTTGTAAAATTATTTATTGTTCCACAGGGCGTTAAAAGCTTGAAGTAACTAAGTAATACGTAATTATTATTCTCGATTTTTGAACTAATAGTCCTTATACTAAAGTCGAGATATGGAGGAAAATAAGAAAACACGTTTTTTACTTCAAGTAAATCGCATTTGCTCTGGAAATTCTACGTTATAGCTGCACGGTGAATATAATTCATTCTTAAAAGCTTAGATAATTTCCAGAACACTTTCTTACTTTTAAGTTTTGTTGCTGCACTTATCTGTCGTTTTACTATAAGTTTTCTGTAACACCTGCTTTGTCCGCACCGTAAATAACGTAGTCATGATCAACTAACTCATACAAAAGCCAAGAAGGTTTTCCAATTGAATAAAGAATTCAACTTTTATTGAATGAAATACAAATGGCTCTGCACCAAATCGATTAGATGGGTAAAAGTGACCAAGTAAGTCAAGATTGCACCCTATAGATTATTTCAACCAGTTGTAGTTAGTAGCATAACTAAGAATGAATACTGTCATAAGAGCGTTAATTTCAAAGTTGACGTGTAGAGAAAAAAGTGATAAAAATAAAACTTTTCACTTCTTGAATCTCCTGTGTATCCTGATTTTGGATCGCCTTGTGTGTTTGGCTATTCCCAATGTTCATTTTGTTATGTTTTTTTGCTGAAGCATTTTCCAACGAGCCTAAACAGGATATGAAGGATTGATTGAATTTGTAATATTTATCAGGAACCCTCTTGAAAATGTCGAATCGCCTTATACAACTGCTTAAACCACCTACACCTAAGCTTAGCACATATCCCACAGCCATCGCTATTCAATCAAAACACAATAGTCCGTATAATTACGATGTTGCAGTTCCTCTGGGTATTTACTCTTTGGGCTAAAATAAACACTTCACTCTGTATAATTGACTCGGAATTAGCGGTTGGCATGATAATCTGTGGGCCTGTGTTAGTTTAGAATGTTTTTGTTACATCCCTGCACAATCGGCTCGAATGGTTGATTTAAACTAGTCGATAATTGTATGATTGATTTTTGATGCTTTCTAGTAGGTACATTACGATGAAGTTAATTTAAATATCCATTTGTAGTGCTGTTTTCTCTTGTGGTTGTTCTAAAGCGTCAAAAACTACCAACATTTTGAGAGAAAACTTTACTCTTTAGTCTTTAGTCTTCTCTTAAAATTTATCCCAGTCTAGATTGTGTACAGGAATGGTTTTAAAAAATGAAAATAAACATTGCAAATAAATTTCGGGAAACATCCAGCAATATTCGGCAAACGAACTATCGAATGTAGAAAATCAATAACAAGATTGATGAGCATAAAGGCCAGTCATGATTTGAGAACAAAGCGAAATAAAAGTGGAAACAGTATATTTTACGGTAATGGCGAAATTAATCATTAGAGAACAAACTTGGCCACAAAGCAGGCTCATTAAAATAGAGGCAACTCAGTTCGGGTTACTAATAGTCATTAGTACGAACATCACAAGCGTAGATAGATATTAATGGAAAGAGGAAATATTTCCTAAAATATGGAGCATCCCTGTAAGTTAAAGTAAATTGTTTTCTGAACAATTGTTCGTGCATGTGGAACTTAGTGGAGGTCGCTTTAATGTTCTCATCAGTCATGTACAACAACAAACAACAAAATTGGTATTGGAAAAAGTCACTGGACATTATTTTTTTTAGGATCGCAACCTTACAGAAACCTAAATAAAAATTTGCAATACAATTGAAGCATTTTTTAATCGCAAAAAAGCGAATGCCATCGGTTTAGTAGACGATTTAAAAAACTGCATGCGAAGTGCAAACCACATAAGTAAAGTTGACTAGTACAATAACCTACCGACTCAGGCTACTGCTGAATTATTATTTAATTCTATGGGGCTCTATGCGCTCCTTTGTACACCCGCGCAACACTCCGCTGCCCCCTTGTCTTGCTAAATCACATGCATGATTTAACTGTAAATTTTGCTGCATTTAGTCCAGCGCGCCAATCCTGTTATCGAGTACTAGATTAGTATCGGAATGGAACTTTTAAGCCACTTTTTATATATTTTGTGAATAGTGTTAAACTGATTGTATTTTTACATTAAACAAATAGAGGAAAAGGAAGGTAATCTGCTATATATAATTTCTTAAAGCATTGGGTTCGCTTCTTGTGGTAAAAAATAGAAAAATGTAATCAATTTTTTTTGGTTAAACTAACATAATCAGTTATTACTAATTTCATGTTAATGGCACGTCTAAAAAACATTTGCGTTATGATGCGGGTTGAAAGACTGAAAAGTAGATAGGGAAGAGCGAAAAATGTAAATTTAATATTGAGGAGATTGGAAGATTAATTCACTAACTGTAGTTCAAGTTCTAGGAAACTAGAGAATTGGCTCACAATTAATTGCATCCTGGCGCAACTTACCAATAGCAACATTTTTTTAAAATTTCCTCTATTGCCGGCTGTATTTTTTTTTCTGTTAGCAAGTGGAAAATAATCTGTTCGGTTCGCTTCTACACGTGTATTGGGGGGTTTTCGTGCCCAAAACAACGGATGAAATTGCTCCGCTGACGTAATCCTTGAAAGTGGGTGTGAATTCGAGAGTAAACTCGGGCTTGTTTGGGGTTTTAAAAGCCCCTTTCGTAGGGTGCCCGGGCTAGTCATTAGGGCATTACTTCGAAATTAATTTACAACAGTTACAGCAGTTTGCCGGGTAATGAATAGAATACGAGCCCCG